AAGGTCAGAAGTTCATAGAGTTCTCATTTCAAGCTAAAAGGAAGTGCAAACCACACAACTATTGTGCGGCCGCAGAAGATCAGTTGTGCGGCCGCAACTGCATTTGTGCGGTCCACAGAAGAGTCATGTGTGGCCACACTCAGAAATGTGTGGACCGCAGAAAGAGATCGATGCGGCCGCGATTCATAATTATGCGGCCGCAAAAGTCCAATCCTGCCAAGCTAAAGAAAAGTGCGTACCGCGCATGGAATTGTGCAGCCGCAGAACCTCCAGAAGGGCAATTTTGTCCGAAAATTCCAGCACTGTATAAATAGAATAGTTTCACTTTTTTAGGGCAACTTTTGTAACTTTTGAAATCAGCAGTCGTTTACTTTGCTTCTTTTAGTAGTTTTAGCTATTTTGAGTTTTTTGAATATTAGTTTTATCATTTTAGTCATTAATATGGTTTTAATTATCACTTCTTCTTCTTTATTTTCTAATTTAAGCATGAGTAGCTAGATTTTTACTAGGGTTGTGACTCACCCCTAGTGTGCGAACTTGATGGGTGTTTGATTTATTGCTTGTTTATGATTGGGTGTTGATTATCTAGCCTTGTTCTTGCTTTTAATTGAAGATTTAATGGTTGCAAACATTATTTCATGCCTAATTGACCGGGTCTCTACTTGAGAAAGAGAGACTTAGTCTAGAAAAACTTGGCTAGCAAGAAATTGGGTCAATCGAGAGATTGATAAACCTAATTAAAGGGTTGAATCTAGAGATAGTAAAACCCGACTTGAGCTTATTATCAATTGCTTTATTCAATACCCATTTGGACTTGAGAAAGCTAAATTTGGCAAAATCACTCTCTGACCGAGAGGTATTGAGTGGGTATTTGAGTGTTGATGGCTATAATACACTCTAACCAATAAAATAAGTTTTAAGGCTTACAACCCATTAAGCGAACACCTAGATGAAGGTCATAGCCCTAGGCCTTTTATATCATTTGAAAAACAACCAAAAATAATTTCCTAGTTTAAATTATTAGTTTGTAATCTTAGTTTAAAATTAAACCTAGAAACAACCAAAGTTTGTGAAAGTACAATTTGAGATAATTCAAGCTCATACACTATAATATATATTCCTAAGACCCATTCATAGATCCCTATGGAAAATCGACCCCGACTCCTTGTTGGGTATTACTATTGCATTGACCGTTTTCATATCCTCAAATAGGGGAGTGAAATTAAACGAGATCAGTCATCACTGGCCGGAAAGCTCCAGGTTCGGCATCGGGAGACTTAGTGAAAGCAGACCGGGAATCGGGGTTGCGTGGAATTATCGAGACTTAGTGAATCAGACTGGGAATCGAGGTTGTGTGGAATTATCTCTTCCATCAACGGGAAGGCCTCATCATCAGTGGTGGCAGGAACACCTTCCTTTGATGAGGATACACCACTGCCAAGGAGGGGTACATGACTCCCCTAACCTGACTCAGAAGGCATGTGAGACATCCTCTTCAGTAAGAGAGAAGGGTTTCAAAAGAAGAAGAAAAATGAGTAACGGTATGAGTCTCAAAGATAGAGAAAAAGGAATGCTCTGCAAAGGAAATAAGATAAGTTGGTGCTAGAGGAGAAGAAGGAGTTTGAAAAGTTCCAGAATCGGAAAATCTTCCCCTATTTATAAGTTTAGGAGACACCAGAATCGAAACCCTGTTTGACATAATTAGCGCAAAAATCGAATCGACAGAGCCAATCAAGAGTTTCACCTGAATCGATGCAATGCATCAGGAAATGGTGTCATTATGACGCACGATGCCATGACATCACCACTTTTCTTGGCCCAGATAACTCCAACTAGCTTCCTGGGCAATTTGATAAATTCAAAATATGCGGACCCCAAAAGCCACATAGTCCCTTCTCCACGACCACGACCCTTGCCACCTATGAACAACATTGTCTGCTCACCGACCTCGTACGTGGGCACGACCTCAATAAGTGGAGGGACTAATTGTATGAGTAAAAACTTACCTTTAGAATATTTAAGACAAGATAATACTAAATGAAGAGTTCTCAAGCCGTCGTTGGTCGAGATGGCCCAAGAAGCAGCAAAATCCATGGTCGAAGAGTCGACGAGAGCCATTAGTCGAGATGTCAACAAGGGTCGAGGTCGAGGTCGAGTATCATTGATAGAGCTGTAACGGTGACGAGCACAAAACACACACTTAAATATGCTCGCTAGTCGAATATAATATCGTATCCACAGGGATTGGAGTTAAACAATATTATCGCAGTTTGTAGCTAGATTGCTATCCAAGATAATCAATAATTTAAAATTTTATGATTAAAAACTAAAATTAACTGAGAATCTAAAGCTAATTGACGAATAAAACTCAAACAAAAGTAAGCGAGGAAGATATCAACGAGAGAAAATAGGGATTAATTGGATAGGTGCAAGATAAATGTCTGATATTTAACTCTAGTTAATTCACTTCTAGTGTTCAAGTGAGTCTCTCGAATTCACTCAATTGTTAGTTCAAACGTTTAGTAGAAACTCATCTGTCGATTAAGTCTCAACCTCACGATATGAACCAATTTAAGCTCGGTGAAGATATGCACGACTTCGTAGTAGATTGGTCTTTAGGAGAACCTCTTGCGATTATATTCCTAACTAGATTTAATCAATGATTCGACTAGCCTCTTTCGATTACTAAGAAGAATTAATGAACTCAACCAACAAGATAATGCAAAGATATCACAAGTTATGCCTCTCTCGATTACATGAACATGTGAATATAGATATAACAATTAAACCATCCAAAACGACTCAATACATAAAAACTAGAGTTATAATCCATGAACAAATATCAATACACCAAATCCATCAAACCCTAAAGAGAACTACTCCATAGATATGGAGTAATTCATCGCAGATAAGTTTAAAGTAAAGAAAAATATAAAACGATCCAAACTCTTGTCTTGAGTGAGGATTGAATGATGAATTCCTTGTGCTTTTGCTTCTCCCCCTCCTCCTTAGCCTCCTTAGGTCTTAGATGTGTCAAAAGTCCAGGAAATAACGTTTTTACATGTATTTATACCAAGTAGGGTCGGGCCCAAACGAAAACATATTTTCCTACGCGAAATAGGATAATTGCTCTGTAAAATTTGCACAGGCGCGCCGCATGGGGCGACGCACCATGCGGGGCGTTAGTGGGGAAATCCAGAGAGCTAGTTCTGACAGACATTAGGGATTTTGTATAGGCGCGGCGCGCCACGCGCCGCGGTTGTGATAATTTCTCAGAGTACAGATTTTTCTTGACTTTTTGATATCCAAATGTGGTTCTCGACCCCCGAACACGATCCCGACTTAATCCCTTGGGTTTTTACTCATACTTCAAAGCTCCAAATAGCTCGAATTCATTCTGTAACATCTACATAGCCCGGAATCCTCCTACAAGGCATAAAATACACAATTAGTGCAAAAACACTAGCGATTAAAGTTCAAACTTAATTAAAGTACAGTAAATTAGAGTGCATTAAGCGACTAAAATACGAGATTATAGCCTACCATCAAACGGCTAGTTTTCAAGATAGGATGTTAAAAGAGAATATTCTATTGGATATTCTCCGCACTTATACTATTAGGATTTCTTAGGAACATGTCCCATATAAATAGAAAAAAGAGACAATGATAGGGGCATGTAATATTCATTTGTAAAAAAAAGTACTTTGACTAAAAGATTCTCTCTCTCTCTCTCTCTCTCTATCTCTCTCTAAGATACAAACACCTCATTTTCACTAAGATTCTTGTCCATACTATTCCATCAGATCCGAGAATAACTCAAAATATTCAAGGATTTACCTGTCATTCATCATTGTCAGGAGGAACATCCACATATTCCATCCTTTATTGGGTGAATCATTCCTCCTATTTACTTAAATGTCATTTATTGTCACTTATTATTATTGAATGCTACATTATTGTTCTTGCTTTCTAGAACAGTTATTACACGTTATTATCATTGTCTGACCGGACCCATCTAACATTTACCGCATCTTTGAAAACTTCATCTAGGGATATTATTGCTTACTAAGATTAACCCTTAATCACATAAATTTAATTATTTGAACCGAGATCTATATTTTTTGGTCAAACATTACCCGCCAGTTAGTCCGTTTTTTATCCGTATTAAATATGAGTCGGGTCGAATAATTTATCCATGTTTGCATTATCCATTTTTGATCTGACCTATATTCGACCCGACTCGCCCGTTTGTCATCCCTAATATCGACCGATGTAGTTGGCACTTGATATACATTTTTTTAGCAACTAAGCTTCATTGGAAAAATTTAAAGACAAACGGAATTGAATCTAAAGAGCGCTGCAATGGGAAAGTAGCCAAGAAATTACGATTTTTTAGATATTCAAAAATTATATAAAAAATAATATAATTTACAATTCTCCTCATGGTAAAAAAATATATGTCAAATTATTGGCCAAAGTTCATGTAATTTGACTGTTAAGAAGGATAACGGGCCAAGTATTTTGGGAAAGAGGGAGTAGCAAATACATGTCTTGGGTTCTAACTTCAGTGATCCTAAACTACTGTTGCCTTGTTAATTTTCTCATACTTCGCTAGTGACCTTAGGAATTTACAAACAAAAAGAAGAAAAACTAAGGAGTGAGCAGAAAAATTATTTTTTTTTTTCACTTTTAGTCTATGCCATAAAATATTTATACGAGTAGCCAAAAAAGTATATAAAAATTAATAATTTTTGTATATAATATACAGAATATATATATATATATATATATATAAATAAATATTTTTTTCGACTACTATTTTTAAAGTGGCTATGCGGTATTATTTTCCAAGAAAAATGACATTCGAAGGGTCAAACAAAATAGACATGGGCTTAGGCCCAATAGGAAGAGCGGTAAAATTTGAAAACCAATAAAGAGGGAAAAAGACACCGATTCCCCTCTCCTGCAAAATGCTTACTTGTTACTCATGCACTCTTAATTCACATGCACTCCCAACACGTTGCACTTTCTTTCCCCTTTAAAACAACACCATCCCTTCTCTTACAAAAAAACGCCCTTTTCACTTTCACTTATTAACACTTAGAAAAAAGCACTACTTACAAAATATGGGTGACCGTCACGCGCACGGCCAGATTCAAACTCACCAATACCCACACCAAATTCAAGTACACCCACACCGTACAACTCATGAAGCTGGTGGTATGATCAAAAGTCTTCTACCTCAAAGAGGTCCTTCAGCTACACAAGTGCTAGCAATTGTAACTCTTCTTCCTGTTGGCGGGACCCTTTTCTGCCTAGCTGGCATTACCCTTTTCGGCAGTTTAATTGGGCTTGCTGTTGCCACCCCTGTTTTTCTCCTCTTTAGCCCAGTTCTCGTACCTGCTATTCTGACATTTGCCCTTGCTGTTGCTGGTTTCTTGACTTCTGGTGCTTTTGGTGTTACTGGGCTTTCATCTCTCTCTTGGATTCTCAATTACTTTAGGCAAGGTATATAATGCGATCAATTAGCCGCTCTCAAAATAATAGTCAAAAAAATATATTTTGTATATATATATATATACATTCTTTATTTTATATACAAAAATTATATAAATTTTATAAACTTTCTAATTATGCTAAAGTGAAAAAAAATCCTAATTTTACCGTACACTCTTTAAATTCTGTTCTACGTTAGTCCAATTGCCTAAATTTTGCCCCCGGATGAGTTTCTTTTGAGGCGAATGGGCTAAATTTAGCATCTAAACTAGTTATTAGATGCATTTTCTGACCGCTTGGCCAAATAACATATGCTAGTCAATTTACGTAAATTTTACATAAATTATATATTTGCCCTCTTTTTTTGGGGGGGAGGGGCAGTTATACTGTATAAAAATCCCATTTTTCTTTTCTTCCGGACAAATTTAGTCCAATAGTGAGCTAACGGGACAGAATGAACGTCAGAATCATTTGCCTTAATTTAAAGAGTGGTTTCAAATTCAAGCAATGAGATTATTTGCACCGTGTGGCTTTATTTAATTAGTTGTATTTGCAATTACAGGTAAGTTTGTGCCGGAGAATTTGGATGCGGTGAAGAGACGCATGCAAGATGCTGCTGTGCAGCTAGGACAGAAGACTAAGGATGCAGGACAAACAATTCAGAACAAAGCACGTGAAGGGAAAGAAGGCGCCAGGACTACTTAGCTTGATCTTTACTAATTACGACTATATATTAAGTTGAAATAAAAATGTACGTTGAACATGCAATTTAATTTTGACATGTTCTCTTGAGCTTTAATTCTACTAGTGTCTTGTGTAGTATGCTTTTGTTTATATGATGTAATGGTTTTGGTTAATTTATTTCTCGGTCGTTTCATTTTTTTATTTAGTCCAGCAGGTTGGAAGTCTGTAGTTTTAATTTCATATTGTTGTAAACCAAAACAAACATCTCAAGAGTATATGTCTTCATGCTCCACCATTGTCCCATTGCATCTTATCTAGATTTCCTTTCCTCCAGTAAATGCAAATGGTTCAACTTATAGAATCATTCTAATTTTTTTTTGGGAGCTGACATTTCTCTATCCCTTGTTTGTGACTAGGGCGGGTAAGAGAAAGTAAAATAAGAAAAGTAAATAGAGAGAAACCTCTATTTCAAAATTGTGCATTAAATTGATTTTTTAGATTGAAAATATTGCTCATAGAACAGCGTGCCATAATTCTTATGTGTGTAATAGAGAATATGGTGGAAATAATTCAACCTTCTCTCGCAGCAATAGTAGAAATAAGAGAAACAGAAATTCAAGGAAAAATTTAAAATATTAAAGAGCAAACGAAGAAGTTTACCTTGGGCGATGGGAGGCAGAAGGGGGAAAGAAGAAGACATTTTAAGGGAGTAAAAGAAGCGGCCGTTTCTTCTTTTGTAGCGTCTGCTGAGTTTTCTTTATTGGAACGTTTTTTTCATTATTTTCTTTCTTAGAATTTGGCAAGATCAATTTTTCCCTCAAATTCAAGAACTCCTGAATGATATTAGAGCAAAATATAACCCTAAGTGTTACTGATAAAATAGTTTGAAACTTGAAATATTATCTATCCGGATTTAAAAATCAAAATATTGATTAAAGTGGAACTATTTAGGTTTTTTTTTAATTACTAATGAGAAAATTTCTAATATTTTAAGAGGATTAATACATTATCCTTATTCTAAAAGGTCAGAATGGAGTGTATTATATTTTTAGAACAACATCAAAGTTTCTTTTGTTTAAGAAAACAAAAATATTAACCGGCATATGAGATGTGAAATATGCTGCAAATAAAATCAAACTCCATCAAACAAAATATGAACCGGTTCCTTTTCTTTAAAGTAAGTACATATCAATTTGTATACTATTATTTTATTAAGAAAGATAAATTAGCTTCTAAGCAACACCATTTAGTATTCGCGGGAAAAGGCCAAGAAATGTACCTAAAAATCAAAACGAAAAGATTCTCATTCCAAACCGGGAAAGGGCCAAGAAATGTACCTAAAAATCAAAACGAAAAGATAAGATAGAAAACACAAGTACACAAGGATAATTTCTAAAATTATTTCAAGAAACAAAATTTCTAAGATTAAAAGAAATTTGACAAACAAACGAAAATAAATTCTAGCACAAAAGTAAATGGCACCTAATACATAACAATGATTGAAGACAAGGGTGAGAAAAGTGGGATTGATCTTGTAAATGACATAATCATAGGTAAGTTTTGAACTTTGTAATCATATGAATTTAGCAACACACATGACATATAGGCACTAACAGGATTATTGATATCGGGATTGCCTGTGCATTTATTATTACTCTTACATTCGTGAGGCAACTTTTTGACGATTAACTATATCATAGGCATATTAGTATTTTAAATCGAAAAATCCTTAATATAACATATAACTACAAAATAAAAAATGAAAGAAAGACAAAGAACAACAAAATTACCTTGAGAGTTTGGAACGTAATATCCAAGCTAAACTTCAAAGCTAGCTAACCACAGAGTCATCAAAGTAATAGTTAAATAATGGTGTCGTAAACTAAACTTATCATTAACTCGTAAATTCAAACAGAAATTCTTGAAAAGAAAAAAGAGTAGACACCTCTTGTTGATCTTCATTTGCTCTTCAAGTTTCTTCACTGTCAAATTATCATCCTTGTGGATCTACATATTTACTTTACCATTCTTAACATATATTATCATTATCATATAGTAGTAATAATGGACCATAATCGTGGAATAGGGAAGGTTGTAACTGTCCGTAACATTCATTGTTGAGACCGTTTCTTTCATTAATGGGTGGATATTTATTGTACAAAGAAAATAGCACACAAATATGGAAAAAGGGATAAAAGCCAAAAAAGGAGAAAATAGATAAATAGGATACTTGGCCAAAGAGAAGTGCAACTCATCTCCTATTGTCTCAACTTTATAGCCAACGATGGATTTAACGATACGATATACTAATAACATTTAAGTAACAATCAAAATAAATATTATATTTAAAGTAATAATACAATACAATACAAGAAATACCAACCATCCAAACAAGATGTTAATCCCTCATGACATATTTATCTTACGTGACGAGGTAAATTTAGCAATCCAGCGCTTATTTGTTCATGTTTTAAGAATCAACATTGACATGTTACCATAGATAACCAAAATTAGCAAAAAGTAAAAAATATTATTGGCAATTATTCATTAATCGATGAAAATGAAGCCATAAATACAGTTTGGATGTACTTTGTAGATAATTAAAAAAATATTAGATTTAAAACCGCCTAAAAATGTTAGAGGTTGAAGCAAAAAATGCATTATTTGTTTATTCCTTGTAATATAATTAGCACAAATCTATCCTAATTCACACGAGTGTCGTTCCATTTTACGATATTTTAAAAGTGCAACGTCATATTATTACTATATTATTTTACAAAAGTGCAATTTTTACGGGTTTCCATATCCTAATTTACACGATTGTCGTTCCATTTTACGATATTTTAAAAGTGCAACATCATATTATTACTATATTATTTTACAAGAGTGCAATTTTTACGGGTTTCCATAATTAGATTAAATCTATATTAATTCACAAAATTTAAATTTGGATATGATGTTTTTCTTTCGATTACTGTATTATTTTAACACTAATTTTGTGCCGGCTTCTCACCTCTGTTCATGATTCCAAGACGAAAACACACACACTCTGTAATATTTATTTGACTGGCGTATATTATATTTCAATTTGGGTATTCAATCCCTTTGCTTAAATGACCAATTTAATCCCTTAAGCTGAAGAGCACGGAAAGTTCACAGTTTTCTTCCAATTGAAATCCACGAGTAAAGTCTCTTTGTGTGTCGTATATTATGATTCGATTTGGGTTTCAATCTCGTTGTTGAGACAATCAATATAATCATTAAGCTAGAGAGTAACAAAAACTCACAGTTTTCTCTGCAATTGAAACTCACGAGTAAAATCTCTTTGTGCATCAAAAAAGTACCTTATGTGATGCAATAACAACGATTCAAATCTTTTTTCTTATTTTTGGTCATTAATGAACTAAGAAACTTTTATTACAACTATTCAAGTCTTACCATAGTGCAAGTTATTTATGTCATAAGTAATTTTATGAATGCTCTATTCCAAAAATCTCATGTAGGAATTGAACCATATCTGCTTCATTATAAAAAGTTTCTGCCTTGAATTTACCTCCAAAATAATTTCAAAATTTTTAGATCTTCTTTTATACTTAGGGTGTGTTTGGTATGAACGAAAATATTTTTCATGAAAAATATTTTCCTATAAAATATTTTTATAGAAAATGAATGGTTTCATCACCTATTTTCCCTTGTTTGGTTGGTGAGTGAAAAACTTTTTCCGAAAAATATTTTCTAGTGTTTGATTAAAGAGTAAAAATATTTTTTTATGCTACTCTCCTCGCCCCTTTCCTCAAGTCCCATGTCACCTGTGCTCCCCCCTATAAATTAAAGAGATCAAAATTCTTGATTCTTTTCTTACTTTACATGAGTATTAAAAAAAAAAAAAGTTTCACCTATACTAATCTATTAGAATTTTAAGAATAAAAAAGAATAAGTAAGATTTTTTGAAGTATTTTACTATATATTTTAAAATGCAATAACATATTTTATTAGCACGCAAACACGGATAAATTAACTAGTTATTATATAATTGCAGTTTCATGACTCTCGTATCATAGCATTTCGTTAGCAATTACGTTAGTTCGCAATAACGTTAGTGATTGTGAATTTTGAAAATAAGAGGAGCAAAGGATTACCGTAAAATTAGAATATTTAATGTTTTTCGAGACAAATTTAAAGGGTAATTTATGTTTTTTTCCTAAATTAATGGATGTAACATATTATTTACAGCATTTCCTAATTACAACTCCACGCTGAGTTATTTGCAAAGAATTTATACCTCTACTGCTTTACTTACCCGCCAGACATCCTTCTCAATTTTCATTCTGCAAAATCTATGCTAGCACTGCACTTTCGCATGTTATACGAATCCTTTTACTTCGCCGAAAATGGACTCTTACACTCAACTGCTGGAGAAAATTCGAATCCCTCAACCATCACTTCAAAAATTCGCAGTCATCTCGATCTTCGAGAAGCTTCGATCGGCTCCGCCGCACTTGGACTCCGACTCTGGCCCTGGAACAGACGCTATTACTCAGTGCCTTCATTCCACCTCAGCTTCTGTCCTTGATCAATCCGTTCGAGAATTATGCCGCCTCGTCAGAGACTCCAAATTGGACATCTCTCGCGGGTTACTGGAGCTCCAGTCTGCTCTCGAAGGTTCAGATTCACGCTTCGTCAACCTTTTCGTCAAAGGCATAGGGTTTCTCGCTCGGTTAGGGTTCCAGAAGAACTCTTTGCGGTTTCTAGCTTCAGAGACTCATCCATTTGTCAAGGTAATTACCACATCAGCACGGCTTAATACAATGTGAACCTTTGCCGTTTTAATTTTTGAGTGTTCCGTCCGCGGTGCTAGGGCTAAGTTCAATTAATCGCAGAGCTTAGAATGGAATACTAATTGTGCTTGAGAATACATTTTACACACAATATAGGCACCTGGAGTACTAAACGGGATAGGTATTACTCATTCCGTCCCAATTAATGTCGTCGTTTTTGACTGGGTAATTTAGAAAGAAAAACAAGCTTTCGTCATCTAAATTAAGTCATAGATACATGTATGGTTATAAATCATTTTATTAAGTGTAAAATGAGAAGGTTAAAGTTAAATATTATTTCTAAATATAGAAATGTATCATTCTTTTTGGGACAAACTAAAAAAGAAATATCATATCATAAATTGGGACGGAAGTAGTTTGGTAACATGGCACATCAAACTCTGACTGAGCAAGAAACATATTTGTAAATTGTAA